CCCGGAGGTATTAAATAGATTTTATTTTTTTAAGAAAAGTATATTTTTTTCTTAACTATTCCAATACTCTTTTTGTTAGAGCCCACGTTCACTCCAATTGAATATAGGTATGGTAAATTGACGTGGTGAACAACGTATAAAAACAAATTGGCGGCAGATAAATCTAAGATTTAAATCGATAACTCTGATACCGGTAGTCCTTGAGTTATGGCCAAAATTTGAGCCCAACATTTCTGGTTGCTAAGCGAGACATTTGTTAAGGGAGCTTTGTCCTGTTTTACCACTTTTTTCGCGCTACCCGTTGTTAAGAGAGTAACAAGGTTAAGTGAATCTGGCTTCCCCATGGACTTTGCTTGTCAGAAGGTCCCAAAAGGGGATCACGTGATCCCCTCCAGGGACACTGCGACCGTCGTAAATACGAGTCAGTTGCCAAGCGGCCGAATTTTGATCACGTGACCGTGGGGAGGCAACAACGGACGTAAGTGTGAAAATCGGTCATAGGTCACTTCTTCAGGGCCGTCCTAACTTCGAACATTCACTTAACGAATGATTGTAAGTCGAGGACTGTGTGTAAAGCAAAATAAAATGAGCGTAGAATCAGAATCAGGGTACCATTAGTCCTCGGCGTGCGACCACAATCCAGCCCAAAATTTCTGTTGCTAAGTGAGACATTGGTTAAGTGAGTTTTTTGCACCCACTTTACGACCTTTCTGGTCACCGTTGTTAAGCGAATCGCTGCAGTTGTTAGTCACACACACGGTCCTTAAGTGGATCAGGCTTCCCCCATTGACTTTGCTTCTCAGAAGGTCGCAAAAGGGAATCACATAACCCCAGGACGCTGCGACCGTCGTAAATACGAGTCAGTTGCCAAGCATCTGAATTTTGATCACGTGACCGAGGGAAGGCAGCAACGGGTTGTAAGCAGTGGTGGGATTCAAATAGGTGAACAACCAGTTCTCTAAGTGGATGTCGCATCCGGAAGTCCATTCTGGGCCTGGGCAACAAAAAATTAACTACCGGTTGTGCCGAAGTGGTGTGAACTGGCTGGATCCTATGGAAGGAAGGAAGGAAGGAAGGAAGGAAGGAAGGAAGGAAGGAAGGAAGGAAGGAAGGAAGGAGTGGTGGCATTCAAATATGTGAACAACAGGTTCTCTGTGTGGATGCCGCATCCGGAAGTCCATTGTGGGCCTGGGCAACAAAAAATTAGCTACCGGTTCTGCCGCAGTGGTGCGAATCGGCCGAATCCCACCACGGGGATTCGTAAGTGTGAAAAATGTCAATGCCGTCGTAAATTGAACGATCGTTTAACGAAAGTATTTGCAAGTGGGGGCACTAAGAAAAATCGAATCAGTGTCGAATTAGAATTAGCGCAATTGTAGCTACTGCTCCAGCTTTGCTGACCTATTTTAAGTCGCCACGTTCCTGTCTCTTAACCGCTGAAGCTTCTCTCCCCTCTGCAGTGGAGAATGGAAAGTGTTTTCCGGCAACGAAACCGGAGCTCTTTTAGGATGGTGGCTGTTTACGTGCTGGAAAAATAAAAATCAGACTCCGGATGCCATCAAAGACGTCTATATGTTATCCAGCACCGTCTCCTCCAAAATATTGCAAGCAATCGCTCTGAAGGAAGGTTTCCACTTTGAGGTGAGGGTCAAGTTCCTTTCAAGCTTCCCTTTTTGGCTGGTCCTCAACCTACGATCGCAACGGACGGCCAACATTTCTCGAAACATTTGTTTAAGTGAATTTGGCCCCCTTTGGCGAGCTTTCTTGCCCCCGTCATTGAGTGGATCACTGCAGCTCTTAAGTTACTGGCACGTTGTTAAGTGAATCGGATTTCCCCCTTTTACTTGGCTTGTCAGAAGGACGCAAAAGGGGATCGCGGGACCCCGGGACACTGCGACCGTCGTAAATAGGAGTCAGTTGCCAAGCACCTGAATTTTATTCCCGTGACAGAGGAGATGCTGCAGTGGTTATTAAGTCAGGGTTTTCAGCGCCGTTGTAACTTCGAACGGCCGCTGAACGAACCGTTTGAAGTTGACAATTACTGTAATAATATTGTTGCACACAGTGATGTCACTCAACCATGTATTTCTGATGTCCCTTAGGACAGGGGTAGGCAACCTTGGCTCTTTTATGACTGGTGGACTTCAACTCCCAGAATTCCTGAGCCAGCCACGCTGAGGGGAAAGGGAGAGGTTTCCAAGCTGAGCCATGCTGGCTCAGGAATTCTGGGAGTTGAAGTCCACGAGTCATGAAGGGGCCATAATGCCCCCATGCTGGCTCAGGAATTCTGGGAGTTGAAGTCCACCAGTCATGAAGGGGCCAAAGTTTCCTTCATGCTGGCTCAGGAATTCTGGGAGTTGAAGTCCACCAGTCAAAGCCGCCTAGGCCTAGGCCAGGGGTAGGCAACCTTGGCTCTTTTATGACTCGTGGACTTCAACTCCCAGAATTCCTGAGCCAGCCATGCTGAGGGGAAAGGGAGAGTTTCCAAGCTGAGCCATGCTGGCTCAGGAATTCTAGGAGTTGAAGTCCACGAGTCATAAAGCGGCCTAGGCCTAGGCCAGAGGTAGGCAACCTTGGCCCTTTTATGACTCGTGGACTTCAACTCCCAGAATTCCTGAGCCAGCCATGCTGAGGGGAAAGGGAGAGTTTCCAAGCTGAGCCATGCTGGCTCAGGAATTCTGGGAGCTGAAGTCCACAAGTCCTAAAAGGGCCAAGGTTGCCTACCCCTGCCTTAGGAGCTAATAAATGTATCTTTGTAGGTATATCTTTGAAAGGAATTTCCCTTCTGTTCTCATATATTTTATCACTAAACTTTGATCAATACAGGAAACACTAACAGGATTTAAGTGGATGGGAAACCGCGCCAAGCAGCTGATAGACCAAGGGAAAAATGTCTTATTCGCTTTTGAAGAAGCCATCGGTAATATGCTTATTATGAAACAGCCAAGGAACGTAGCTATAACGTCATGGTTCCGACAGATGAAATTCTTCAAAAGTCCAGTTGCCTCGGGAAAAAGCATATTTGGGATAACTCTTGTCCTTATCTGCAAAAATAATAATAATATAACGTTGCTCTCTCATTCTTACTAGCTGTCAGAAGTACATTTCTGCATATTGCGTGGAACATCCCTTTATTTCAGTAAAGGGCGAAAGGAAAATCTTTCTCACCTTTGCTTTTAAAAGGATGAGATGTCTTTTAAAACTGCAATACAGGCAGCCCCTAGGTTAAACACATCAATCTTAAGGACAATCTCTGGGGTCCTTGGTGCTCTCTGAGCTGGGTGGTTTTCTTGCAGACGTTTTATGACCCAATTAGGTAACATCATCAGTGCTAGAAGAGGATGGAGTTTGAGGAGGAGGAGGAGGAGGAGAAGTTTGAGCAGGATGAGTTGGAGGAGGAAGAGGAGGAGAAGGAGGAAGATGACAACTGTGGGATCTTTGGTGCTCTCTGAGCTGGGTTGCTTACTTGCAGACATTTCATGACCCAACTAAGTAATATCATCAGTGCTAGAAGGGAATGGAGAGAGGAGGAGGAGGAGAACTGTAGGGTCCTTAGTGCTCTTTGAGTTTGGTGGTTTCCTTGCAGACATTTCATGACCCAACTAAGGAACATCATCAGTGTTAGAAGGGAATGGAGAGAGGAGGAGGACAACTGTGGTGTCCTTGGTGCTCTCTGAGCTTGGTGGTTTTCTTGCAGACATTTCCTGACCCAACTAAGGAACATCATCAGTGCTAGAAGGGAAGGGAGATAGGAGGAGGAGGAGGAAGAGGAAGAGGAGGAATTTGAGGAGGAAGAGGAGGAAAGCAACTATGGGGTCCTTGCTGCTCTCTGAGCTTGATTATTTCCTTATAGATGTTTCATGACCCAACTAGGTAACAGCATCAGTGCTAGAAGGGAGGGGAGATTAATTCAGGTATCTAGTGCAGCTTATAGCACTGATCATGTTATCTAGTTGGATCATGAAACGTCTGCAAGGAAACCACCAAGCTCAGAGAGCAACAGTGTCCTCCTCCTTCTCCTCCTATTCCTCCTCTTCCTCCTCCTCCTCCTCCTCCACAGCATCCCTCTCCCTTCTAGCACTGATGATGTTCCCTAGTTGGGTGATGAAACGTCTGCAAGAAAACCACCCAGCTCAGAGAGCACCAAGGACCCCACAGTTCAGCCTTGAGTTACAAATATTCTCTGCTATTAAAGACGAATACGGGCTGCCTATTGCTACAGAGGATGGAAGCCGTTCTCTTTCCTCAAGCCAAATTATTCTTCCGTCTGTGATTTCATCAAAGATTTCATTTGCAATCCTTGTCACCAAATAAAGCTAATTAGCGCGCAGAGTTAAAGCAGATTTGCAGTCTGTGTCCCGTACAGTATGAAAACTATTTTATGTGCACTTGCATCGGCGTATTTTTACCAACAGTTTTTGGTTGTTGTTTTTCTGTAAACTTTCAGGATATATGTGCAGCCCCCTAGTACTGGATAAAGATGGCGTCAGCGCCGCCGTCATAACCGCGGAGATGTCTAGCTTTTTGGCCACCAAGAATGTGACTCTGTCTCAACAGCTGAAAAACATTTACACAGAGTGAGTATAACTGAACGAACTGCTGAATGTTTTTTACATTTACCATACAGATAGTCCTCAATTTAACAGCAGTGATGTCAACGCTGCTAACATCGGATATTTTGCTTGGACAACAGTTGGAGATGCAACCATTTTCTTCTTATGTTTTACTCTTAGAGTTAGATGATGCTGGGGGAGGAATGTGCATGAGAGTTTAGCTAGACATAACAATACTGGACCTAGTGTGAGAACCAAGGTTATTGAAATAAGAGATGATAAGGATTGGCAGGGCTGGAGAACTGGAGGGGAAGCCTGCATTTCAAACTAATTGGAGAATGTGATTTATGACTGTTAACTAGAGGAGGTAATTGTGGTTTACTACTTTGTGCCCAGGGGAGGGGAATTCAGTTTTTGGCTTTAACTATGTAGTGCCGATGCTATGCTACTCGAATAAAAGATTATTTAAAGTAAACCATGCCTCGAAGCTCTTTGAAGAGTTTCATCTGTCAGAACCACGACAGTTTCCTTAGTGACTGTCCCAGGTTACAACGGGGCTGAAAAAAGTGACCAACGGCCATTTTTCACATTTTACAACTGTTGCTGCATTCCGACGGTCACATGATCGAAATTCAGATTCTTGGCAACTGACTCGTATTTACGACAGTTGCAGTGTCCCCGGGGTCACGTGATCCCCTTTTGCGACCTTTTTTTAAAAAATATTTTTATTGATTTTTTTTTAAAAAATACATAAATGACTCAATAATTGGTGAACAGTGTGTTGTCTGGGTTATATTTATAAAACAATCATTAACAATTAATTTCTATAATCCATATTCCACATATTAATTTTAGTTGATTTCCCCTTTCCCCAAAGTAACCTCTTTTGCAAACATTAATACAATTCTTACTGTTTGGATAAATAACCATTGAATGTATAATTCCCCCCCCCCAATATTCCTAAAAATAATCATCCTATTAGTATAATATTTCTTTTCTATTCAATCATTCTGGTTGCCTTATCATAGGTCCTGTTAATCCTTATTTTAGTTTATTTCTCCCGCCAAATTCTAGATATTCTTACTGGTGAAGATTTTCTCAAAAATTAATTACATTTACATTTACAAATTTAACTCTATTTTTTCCACATAAACCCATCTTACACTTTTACATTTCTTAAGAAATAGATAAAACAATGAAAAAAAAAGAGAAGAGAAGAGAAAAAGAAAGGAAAACAAGAGTAAAGAAACATAAGAAATAACATACTACTTAAAATATATATCCCTCCTAGGCTAATGTATGTTTATTTCCTTAATTTCTTATTCTTTTTAACCATAATTAAGAATATATTTAATCTTTAATCTTTAAACATTCTATTCAATAGTCATCTAGTCCTTTAACTCTTATTTAAAACATTTTTTTGATATAATTTTCTTACATTCAGTCACATTTTAAGCATCTAAAACATTTCTGACAAGCAAAGGCTTGTCAGATTCACTTAACAACTGAGTTACTAACTTAACAATGGCAGCGATTCACTTAATAAGTGTTACGAGAAAGGTCGTAAAACGGAGACAAACTCACTTCAACAAATTAGCAGAAGAAATTACGGGCTCACTTAACAGTCGTAAGTCAGGACTTCCTGTATACACACTAGCCCTGTATATGTGTATTTATGTTTGCGTTGTAACTTGTCCCTGCTACTCAGAGTGCAAATTTTTTTCCTGCTTTTTTGTCTTTCTATGTAGATACGGTTATCACATCACCAAATCTTCCTATTTCATTTGCTATGATCAGAAGATCGTCGCGGCTCTGTTTGAGAAGATTCGGAATTACGAGGGGAAAAATACCTATCCCAAAACGTGTGGAAAATTCCCCGTCTCTGGAGTCAGAGATCTGACCACTGGCTATGACAGTAACCGGGCTGATAAATTAGCGGTAAGTACTACTGTATTCCTTGAAATCTTGTTTTTTTGTTGTTGTTGTTGATTTTTTTTTCCAGATTTATGAATTCTCTCCTCTCAAAGGTGCTTCTTGTTGTTGTTTTTTAAAAAAGCAACTGGGCTTTCTTCGTTTTTTGGTTGAAGGCTTTTCGCTTCCCATCCCAGAAGCTTCTTCAGTTCTTCCCTTCTTGGGAAAAGTTTTGTGCTTCTTTCTCAAGGGAGAACTCAGAAAGTCCAGCTGTTTCTTGAAAAAAGCGCCTGTGAGACGAACCGTGACCTGGAGGACAGAGAATCTCCAGGGAAGTAAGAAGTTCTTTCCTTACTTTCTACTCGGTGTAAGTTTTGCGGACTTCGCTCCCGAGTCTAGCTAGCTTAAAATGGGAATAAGAAGGAAGCGCTCAGGAAATCGTAAGAACATGCAGGACTTCAGGAAGGTGGACGCCACTCTTTTTTCCCCAACGGATCGTTTATGATTTGCCTTGCGGTTTTCGCGCGTGAACATGGCACACGCTCTGGGGGAAAAAAGGTTTCTGGTTAGGAGTCGCCGTGGCCCAGTGGTCAGAATGCGGTACTGCAGGCTAATCTTGCTGACTCCCCATTTTCGGCAGTTCGATCCTGACCGGCTTGAGGTTGACTCAGCCTTCCATCCATCCGAGGTCGGTAAAACGAGGACCCAGATTGTTGTGGGCAACAACATGCTGACTCTAAACCGCTTAGAGAGGGCTGTAAAGCATTGTGAAG